CCTCCCGCACGGCAACATCAGATACGTTTTTCATCAAATCCCGAAATAATATTCGGAGGATAGCCGATCCGCGTCCTCGGTTCTAACAGTTAACCCACTTGTACATTCATCCCTACTTAGGAACTCGGGAGATCGGTGTTTGAATTCGCAATGTGGCGCACGGAGGATGGGGGAATCGAGTCTCATAACGGATCTAGGCCGCAAATGCAGGCTAGGAGAAGAACAGAGCCGAGTCTCTATGGCTTGGAGACGAGAGTTTCTCCATGCCGTGTGTCTGAGGACCGGATGACTTCTCGGCATACCGAGAATCTGTTCACCTAGGTTAGATCATCATTATTATCACATCTTCAAATATGCCTCTCAATGTCCGGCTAGACGCTACCTAAGAAACTTGACCCGTCCGATGAGAACTAAATGACGATATGATAACCGAAATTGCTGGGGTCAATCTCGTCATTGACTTTATCCTCCGCGTTTTGTTCATAGAAACCAGCTCCGCGAACGGAGAAACCCCGACTTGCGCGTTGGACGAGGGGGGACTTCGGCTGTGGGAGTATGTATGCCAGCCAAAATAAAGATATAGCCAGCAGCTATCTAGCAGTTTGAATAGGACAGGTGAATCAGAATCACGCAGTGCACAATCAAACCAACAAATTGGGAAAGGAATTCGAGTCAACTGTGTGTGCCCTGGTCCAAGTTAAGTTTCGAGCCGGATAATTGCGACGGTTCTCTCTAAGATGGCTTCTAGTTTGGACTCTCTTGATCCCATCCACCATGGATTCCTCTGCAATGGAACAGTATCTAGCGCTGGAGATCGCGTCAACATCCTCACTAGCTACAGAGCGTAGGTCGGTACGTTCCAATCCTCGAAAAGGCTAGCCCAAAAAAGATGGTAGTCCTGGGCAACCCCATGCTCTCAAAGGAAGCCAAGCAGCACGCTCAAAATGTCCTCGAAGACGGATTGGGCGGTGGGCAAGTTCATGTTCAAGGTTCATGACGACTTTTACCAGAAACGAGGTGACGATCAGAGCGGCCCTAATGGAGTCCAAGCTTGGTTGAAGGCGTATGTTCTTACCCGTGTTCACTAGATACTAACTTCCACCCAGGGCCACCAATAGCGTCGAGAGTGACAGACGAGTGAAAGCGCAGCGCTATTGAGAGATACGAGCAGCAGTTCAGTCAGGCCCAGATTGGTCATAATGCAATCTACGATGCGAGTAGAGCCATGCCGAGAGACAACACCTTTGGCAACGAGCGAAATGCTGTCTGATTTCATCCGCGGCGTCGCATGCGTAGAAATCCTCCTTTTGGAGCACTCTTCCAGTGCGTTGGCTGAGCATGGAAAGCTTTAGCGCCATAATACTCCGTGTCCAAGTGATCTTGAGATAGCACGATCCGTCATGACCATCTATAACAGCGAACTCATTTGGAGCAGGGGGGACTGTGGTCGCATGCTCGGCAGCGGAATTGAACAACATGTGAAACAACTCCAGTAGTTCCTGGTGTAACGGAATTGAGCCAATGCACTCTCGTCAGCCAGCAGCAGTGAGTACGATTAACCGGTGATCGGCACGGTCTTATGATCTTGTCCTTGCGGGACACCACGTAGTCAAATACATTGGCAGTATGATGACGACGCCAGGAAGAACGCCGAGATCATATATAGCCGGAACCAATGATCTGAATCAGCCGGCAAGTCAGTTCCTGGGGTTCGCAAGCGTTAGAAAACGACGTGTCATCCGCTGGCGCATCATCCTCAGTAAGGTTCTCCCCAGACATCTAGCAGCAAGTACAGCTTCATCTGTTGATATTGAGAGTAAACAGGCTGATTAGTGATTACCCGGTCGATCTGCGTCTTGGATCGATATAACCGTCTTGGAATCGACGTCGTGTGATGCGGGTATGGACCGCGGAAAGTGCAGATCATCTTGATATATCCCGCTGCTCTCATCACATTGTTTGTCTTGCATGGCTCAAATTCGCGCTCCGGAGTACCTGTCAATTTCAAACGAGCGCAGCCGCCCGGCGGATAATTTCAGATTGATGATTTTCACAGTGTTGGCCTGGCAGATGAGTCGTCCCCTCCCTTGGCAATCCACCGCCAAGAGTCAGCTTGATGCGAGACTACCCAGCATAATCTCAACTAGCCCTCCGACAACGCAATTTCTGCCGAATCAGATCATGGCGGTGCTCCGGCTCGGCAGCGCCACCGATGGGGCACTATTGGCTACCGGCGACTTGGCATCTGGTGCAACCTGCTCGTCCGCCTGTCCTCGACTCTGACGCTCACTCGGGGTGATGCCAAGTTGTTTCTGCGCTTATCATTCCCTTATTCGTACCGAATAGAGGTGGAATAGTCCACAGATTTCCTCTTGGAGATCCCCTCCGCTTGAACGCGTCTGCGCTTGCCAAGATTCCCCTCCAGCCACGGCATCCCCCCTCCGTCTTCTTAATGAACTTCTGACTGAAACAACGGAGCGTTTGAGCTGCCGAATGCCCTTCAAAGTGGAGACACGACCCTAGAGTGCTGCTGACGAGCAGATTTCTCCACGGAGACCGCTGTGCCGATCCTCACACGAGCCCTCGTGCTGAGCAGAATGTGCACCATAGGCCGACACGAGCTTCGTGAGAGAATCCCTGTCATGTCTCAGTTGTTGTGGATATAGGAAAATTCACCATGGACATGATGCATGTATCTGTCCACATGGTAATTACGTACTCCTCATTAACCGCCAGGGTTTATTGTCAGCGACCAGGGAAGGACGGGGAAGCCCGAAGAATCCTTGATAGTGAATGTTCTTCGGTCTTCTGAAGGAGTAAGCAATACATTGACATGAACCTTTCCACAAATCATGACTGGCCGATAGTGGGATTAATCACTGGTATTACGAGATTTTGCGCAGCTGGCATGAAACTAAGCTCGGATGTGGGTATCGCGGTCCACTCAGATTTGCCAGTGAGGGCTGGCAAAGGCATGCTGGCATGGTGATGGTGGTCGAAAATGAACGAAATATGCATCGCCAGACAAGCATCATGATGCGACAACCATTGCGGCCAATACGCCTGCTATCCAACAATGTGTGACCCAGAACAGGTAGCTCTTATCTGCTCTCATGTTGCTGATAATGGTGATGATGGAGGGGTCACCCAGTTTTCCTGGGAGTCATGTCGTTGTCTGTTGACGTCAACCGAGAATAAATTATGGGCGAGCGGTATTACTCGGCTTACTGATGCAGGGCCTTGAGTTGGCTGAGTCGGATCAGACCGACCAGCCAGCCCATGTTGTAGAGCATCCCAGCTGCGGCTGTCGATATTACCCATTCTTGTCTTGTTGACACAATGCTGCCTGGTTTCTGCGCATTATCGAGATAGGACGTATCATTCTATATTACCTCTTGTCCACATGAGGAATATATCCTGCGTTTCTCTTTTCCGCGTATGGCACGGACCGTCGCCGAGCTATCATCCATATCCACCCGCCATGATCGACATTTCTAAACGCTGAAACACGATTTATCTTAGAGTATGAGCTTACAAGGTTACATCGATCGTTTGACAAGTCAATCTCCCGCGGTGCGAGCTAAGCGAAATAGGAAAGAGCATTGGCAAGTATCAGAGGCTAATCGACCACGCACTCTGATAGCCTCGCTTGGCAAGTAGTCTCGACAATTCTGCAATTCTACCATTACCCAATCCGGCTAGAAGCTGCTCAAATCTGATTTGCTGGAGTTGCTGAGCTGCGAGCCTGCGATGAGAGTCTCTATCCTGCAGAACGCCAAACGCACGGAGGAAAGAATGTCCGCAGCCTCACCCTAATCAGAATCCCTGGGCCCCTAACGGCGCTGCTCGGTTGAGGATGTCTCTCCTCGACGTGGCGGACCGCGGAGTCTTTCTCCCGTAACCGCCTCCTTCCAATCCTCGAGTCTGATCTGTTTCGGTCTGGCGCCTCAGCTCGAATGTCTAAACCCCGGCAACAGAGCAAGGGTCCGGTGTACAGCCCCTTGCTCTTCAACTGGTAGCTAATGGAAGTTATGCAATGTCCAGTCGCATCAGATGGGTCTTTCCACAATCTTTGCTGCTCTGTGGGAAAAAAAACGAGCTTCCCAGATCTGAGAAGAATACTGAGTTCCAGCCACAACTCTTGAGTCCGAAGCTTGTTCGAGGTCGAGCATAACCTTCAGTCAGACGATAAGAAACGAAACTCTACGGGACGCGAGGGCACTCGTTTGGCGTTGCCGTTTGCGGTCTAAGCATTGCTAGAAAGTGATGGGTTCAGATCCTTCTGCAGCCACGAGGTCGTTCAACGGAGACATGTGGATGTGGAGGTTGATGCCGTTCGTCCGCTGTAGTATCCACCTTGGTTATGCAGCATTGTAGCCAGCCATAACGCGCCGGAGCAAAAAAGGAGTGGTTCTGAATGATTGTTACAATACCCCTTTTGGTCGGGGAGTACGCCTCTTTGGGTTGAGTGGCTTCATCTACTCGGGAGGGGTCCGCAGAAATCCTTGAAATTGTCCTGCAGACCGCATTCTTCTTTACAAACGACCATTTCCACCGGCTACTTTCTCTGGCTCTTCCCCTTCACCTGGATTGGGGCCCTCTACTCCACGAAAAGTGGGAGGGGTATCCCTCCATGTTCTGCTGATTATCCCCCTTTCGGAGTTTTCAAATCAAGACCCCTGCACTGTTACTGATATCCACCCAGTCAGACACGCACCCCCGTACGGAATATATACCGATCATCATCATCGGCATAAGATCAGGGTCTTATCACCCGTGCTGACAGAGGATTCGGAACGCTCCGCAGGCTTGATTTCGTGTCTGCAGAGTCCACTCGTATTTCCGGTGAATTTTGCCGCCAGATCATTTATACTCCGGCCCGCTGTGTATATCATTTGGACTCTAGCCCCAGCCTATCCCCCCCCACCCCCCCATCTTGCCTTTCTCTTTCTGCTTTTCATGTGAAGCTCTCCTTTCCGTATTTGTTTCTGTACTACACAATGGGTACGCAGGACCAGACAGGAGCAAAACGGACCAAGGGTAAGCCTATTCCCAGCCAACCAGGATCTCACGGCACGACTGTCATGAAGGGGCAGCCGTCTACCGGGTCATCAGGGTCCAGGGAGGCGTGCGATGAATGCCGTATCCGCAAGGTCCGTTGCAACAAGGAATATCCCAAGTGCTCGAGCTGTCGCAAATCCAATCTCGCATGTGGGTTCTCCAACAAGGGGAAGCGAGTCAATCACACCAAGAAACTGTTCGTCTTCTGTGTCGTCTAAGAGCAGAATGATTCTAATCTTTTGTGTCTGTACAGGGTTAACGAGGTCGAAGTCCTTGGAAACCGTCTTGGGAAGATTGAAGAGGCGCTGCTTCGCTGCTTGTCAGCTGTAGAGCGTTCAAATTCTCCGTCGAACGCTGCTACACGGCCAAGCTCGGTCATCCAGTCCGACGACAGTCATAGTGACCCCAATGATAGTCGACATATGGACGAAAGCACCTTAGATGCCTCTTCAGAGACGCGCCCCGAACAATGCAGTTACCATGCCTTCCCTGGATCAACCCCTATTGCTTCTCTATATGCCGAGGCCCAGGCTGCGTGCGATAGACTGAGATCGCTATTACCATTCCCGAATCCAGACGGCGAATATAGTCCAGCTTCACCGGATTTCAGACCAGGCCAGAGTCGTTCATTGCAGTCACGGCTTAAAGAAGTCAGCGAATTGTTCGAGAATCTGACCAGAGAAAGCCCAGTCCTGTCGATACCAGAGTCAGATGGGCTGCTACCCTCGTTACCACCACGAGCACTGGTAGAAGCCAGTCTAGAAACATATTTTACATGCCTGAGTCCCTTTCTGCCCATCTACGACCGAGAAAGTGTTGCGTCAGCGATTAAGGAGCAGTATGGACCAATGGTCAACAACCCTGACCCAGCCTGGATGATTTTGTTCAACAATATCCTTCTACAGACACTGGATGCCAAGAATAGTGCAACAACCAGAGCTGGTTTGATCAACCACAACATACTAGAAGACGAGCTCATCAAAAGCTTGTTACTGAACTATCAGCGAGGGTACAACAATTTCGAGAGACTGCTGAGACCGCAGCTAGTCAATGTGCAGGCGCTGTTGAGCATGGTAGGCCTGCTCTTCTTGATTGATTGTATTTATCGTCTAACATGCTCAGGCATTGATCGCCTTGAAGTATTTTTCTCTCGCGACCTTTGAGACAGTGTTTGCACAGGCGTGCCAGTTAGCCAAATCCATCGGCCTCCATCAAAGGAATTCGAACTCGGAGAACGCAGAACAGACAGACCTGTGGTGGTCCTTGTTCATCATCGACGTAAGCTAGCAATTTGTCTGTCTCTTGCCCTTGCTAACTACGGAATAGAAACACGCGTCTTTCATAGCTGGCAAGCCTTGCCTTCTTCCATCCTACGACTGTGGGCTTCTTTTCCCAGCGGCAAACTCTGACCATATCGCAAGGGATCAACGTTCTGCACACATCTCTCTGGCACATATCCAAGAAGACATGTACCAATGTCTCTACTCCGCGCGAACGACTCGCAAGGGGCGAGACTACATCATTTGTCAAGTTCAGCAGATCAACCGAACATTGGAAGACTGGGAGATCCAGCACAAACATATTCTCTCTCCTGCATGCACTATGACCGAGCAAGAAGCATTTCGCCTCACTGAGCTGCGATACACACTATGTACACTTCGGGTTCTGACTCAAAGGTTGGAGCATGCATCCAACGACCGTTGCTCACGCTTGGAATATGCACGATCTGGCCTTCGTCTATTGCAGGAGACATGCGGTACAGCTGGGGATAGCGTCGTTGGGCTTGCACTGTATCAAAGGTATGTTTTCCGTGGAAACGTAGACATCATGGTCTTACGAATTCCAGTATCTGCCTGAATTATTCCATGGCGTTGTTCCTCGAGGTCTTCATCGCCATCATCGAAGAGTACCAGCAAGACCACCGTATCGACGCCGAGCTACTTTCTTCGTTCGCTGCCCACATGAACTTTTTCTCTGCCAAATCGTCTCCTACAGCTCATGCGTCCAAAGCCGCCTACATGGCCGGTCTTTGTAGCAATATCGCTCTCAGCATTCAAATGCTAGACGACGGCTATTTCCCGCGTGAAATACCGCCTTCCAGACCCAATTCTATACCGGACTCTCCAGGTCTCACGACCATTTCTACTGTCTCGACCTTCGGTCCAGAGATGCTCGAGACCCCTTCATTAAGTGTGGACATTCCCACGTCATTCATAGGGGTCCCCTCCTGGGAATTATCCTCATTCCCTACTGACGGAAACTTCAACGTGAAAATGCATGAAGCGCAGGCAGAGCCTTACGAGCAACATGGACTACTTGTTGGAAGCACCCCTACTGCAGGATTTGCATATAGACCAGAGCTGGCCGGGATGAGTTCGATGGAGTTTGATGCAATGCTTGATACATTTGCCTTGTATGATCATAGAGGAGGACTTACGCAGAACGACGGATTCTAGATGCTTAGGTAGAGTAGACGTCTGTTTCTTACTGAGTTTCTAGCGGCGCACATGATATCGCTTTGGTTTTCAACATACGATAACTAGGCCATCGATGTACCGTACAATATTGGCAATAGAATTCAACACAATGATGCAGTCGTCAGTCAAACATCCGCTACCATATTGTAGCAGCTCAATAGCACAATGCTATCTTGTCTACTATCAACCTACTCGGAGGGTGTCCTCTCAAATCAAACAGCCACACTCGAGATCAGAGCGTCAGCCGCATATTATCATGTGGACAGTAAGCCCACTAGAAAAGTTGCCAACGCTCGATGAAGCATATAGACCAATCAGCCAGTCCTAGGACAATCTCGACCTTGGTGAGACCGATAATAGCTTCGGCTGCTATATCCCTGTTCAACTGCAGTAGACCGCGGGGTATACCCGAAAGTAGGTGGTGTGCAACGAGGAAGCGCGGGCAAATACTGTACCCATTATTAATTTCAGTCGATGTCTTCGGCACAGATCGACTCGTTCCGTGGCACTATCGCCTTCGGCGGAGCGGATTAGTCTTTCAGTTTGCCGTACCACGCTGCCACCACCATAAAGCACGGCCCTAGGCCTGTAGCCGGTTAGAGGGAACACTTTTAGATAGTACACCGACGAAAAGGGCGACACCGATACCCTTGGCTCCGTCCCCGAGGGCCAGCAGTCCACCATCGCCAGCCCGGAAATTGAGCCGATCAAGGGTGACGCCAACACTGTCGAGCCCAAAGCCCACCGGTGCAAACGCGAATCTCGTGGAAAAGTACCGGAAGGAGCTCCAGGCTCTGGACTCGCGGCCCTGCGCTCCCCCCAAGCGCATATACGTGACTATCAAGCTTGTTTCACATACGGCATTACCCGGGACGTCATCCACCACCAGTCCAAGGGTCTGGATCATAACCATCGAAGGGCTCCTCAATTCGATAACAAGGTTGAACATCTCTGGGCAACGGCCCAGATTTGCTCTGCTATGGTACGTTCGGTTCAATCGCACACCCCAATATATCTATCATAACAACGACAAATCATGTCCATCTCCCACGGCGCAAAGGATATCTTCAATGCCATCGGCCCATTCAGCACTGAGTACACGACCTGGCACACCGGCGTGGCCTCTGCCAAAGCCGATACCCCGATTTGGATCAAGGCCGCTGGCGGTTTAGAACTGTGAGTTGGTAAATCTCTTTTCCTTCCCCGTTGACTGTCCTCTCCACTAACGACATAGGCTTCTGGACCTTCGGCTACCATCATGCGCAGTCTCGGAAACCGCATTACCAAGCACTCTCCTACGCACAGGCACAGCATGGAACTCGGCGCTGCGATTACGGTCCTGCTTGCGTCACTGCTGGGTCTGCCTGTGTCTATGACGCAATGCATTACCGGTCCAGTGCTGGGTGCTGCATTAGTGAACATGGACCTGAAGAGCATTAATTGGAAACAGCTGGCGAAGATCTTCCTCGATTGGGTTCTGACACTGCCGTGCGCGGGTCTCATCTGTGGGATTATCATGAGGATGGCGCTGAATGTTCCTCAATGGGGCCGGTAATTTAGAGTGGACCAGTTACGTATACATACATAATCTTGGAGGTTATGATTCCTGCTGCGGTTCAATCTGTATAACTACAGGCTTTTCTACCCTGCAATAATATGCAGGAGCGCGAGGTGCGAGGTCCCACATGCCATCGTCGATCATGGGTCTGTTCACCGCGAATCTGACGGCTCGGCAGAGCGGGGTAAACAACCGTGCACGAGCAGATCCGCTTGTATAACTTCATCTCCAAATACACCACACGAGCTTGTACTTTTCAATTGATTACACTATCAACACGCCAAGATGATCTTCGAGCCGGCAGAGCGCGTTCTCCTCCCTTCTGTGGATGTCCTCTCCTACGTCTTCGACAATACATATGATGCCAACCGACCGGTAGTCCGACCTCGACAAGATCATTCATAATACTGATGCTGACAGGTCTACATTGACGTTCATAATCCCTCGCGATCTATCGGCTGCGCTCAGGCTCGGAATATCGTCCGACAGTTGATTGCCGGCCTACGCGCCTGGGGAGTCAAACCAGGCGATTGCGTCGCCATCCACTCTTTCAATGATGTATTCTCCCTCTACTATATCCCTTACACAGCTAACGGACAATAGATCTACTATTCTATGCTTGTTCTGGCCATCATTGGTGCAGGTAGTATCTACACCGGTACCAATCCATCCTACACGACGATGGAGCTGGCGCATCATTTCAAGGCCGCCGACACAAAGTTTGTAATCTCCGAGCCGGAGATTCTGGCACCTGTTCTTGCTGCCGTTGAGGAGAGAGGTATTCCTGAAGCGAACGTGCTCATCTTCGATGTCCTGGGACAGGAGGTCCCGGCTGGTCGACGATCATGGAAGGATCTTTTCAACCACGGCGAACACGATTGGGTGGCCTTTGATGACCTGCAACGAGCCAAGGAGACCACAGCCGCAAGGCTATTGAGCAGTGGGACGACGGGCCTGCCCAAAGCCGTGACCATCACGCATCACAATCTCATCGCAGAGCACGAGTTGTGTTTCGAGGTGCATCCACGATCATACCAGGTATCCTTGCTCACCTCCATCAGACGAGCCCTGCTAATAGGATGTAAAGGTCTCCCGCATCGTCGCAATGCCCATCTTCCACGTCGCAGCCGCTGTAGGGGCACACTTCGGGGCCCTCAAATCTGGCTACACGATCTACATGATGCGCCGCTTCGACCTCGAGACATTCCTTGTGGCCAACGAAAAATACCAAGCAACCGACCTAGCCATCGTCCCGCCCATGGCGATCGCCATTCTGCAGTCTCCATTCTCGCGGACCAGGCCATTCCTACACTCCATCAAGAGCGTCAACTGCGGTGCCGCCCCGCTCGACAAAGACGTGCAGGGGCGGTTCCGCACCCTCCTCCAAGAGGGCACGCCATTTACGCAGGTCTGGGGAATGACAGAAACCTGCGCTATCGCGACGATGTTCACGTACCCGGAGGACGACGACACAGGGTCCGTGGGCCGGCTGATCCCGAATGTTGAAGCCAAGTATGCTGCCCCTGTCCCAATGGGAACATCTACTGACCATCCAGACTAATCGACGAGAACGGAAATAACATCTCCGCGTTTGACGTCCGCGGCGAGCTATGCGTGCGCGGACCCATCGTCACACCGGGTTACTACCGCAACGACTCCGCCAACGCCGAGGCCTTCGATAACGAGGGCTGGCACAAAACGGGCGATATCGCGTACTGCGACGGGCGCACGCGCAAGTGGTACATCGTCGACCGGAGGAAAGAGCTTATCAAGGTCCGTGGTTTCCAGGTTGCGCCGGCGGAGCTGGAAGCTGTGCTTCTGGGTCATCCGCACATTGTTGATGCGGCGGTGATTGGGCTGGTGTTACCTGGGGCGGATACGGAGTATCCCCGTGCGTATGTGATTAGACGGCCTGGCAAGGAAGGCAAAAATCTCACGGAGGAGGATGTGAGAAAGTATCTTGGTGAGAGGCTGGCCAGGTACAAGGCGCTGACCGGGGGTGTCAAGTTTGTGGATGCCATTGAGAAGTCTCCTAGTGGGAAGATCCTGAAGCGGGTGTTGAGGGAGGATAGTAAGAGGGATGTTGAGACCGGATTGAGGCCGAAGCTGTGATGGTCTAAATACAGGTGACACATAGATCATGAGCGAAAAAAACCACTGAGGAATCCCCTCTTTGGCTCCGGGGTCTGGGTCTCCTCCTTCAACACTCCGACTTGCAAGCGCTCTCGATAACGGCTGAGGATTGATGCTTCATGATACTCGAGGAATTTGACCGTTGCATCCTTTCCGGCGATCTTTTTCAGGACTGCCTTGTCAGACTAGCCCCTTGGTCTATCAGTAGATAACTCACTCTTCTCACCCCCGGGATGCTCTGCCTGGAACTGGGTGACGTCGAAAACCTCCTTTTCGATTACTATCCAGAGGTCTTTTGTGGTGTTATGTCGCGAGACATCCTGCAGCGAATAGATAGGAAGTGAAGAAGCCATGCTGACTTCTCTATCACTGCCAGGGAAGTGTGCTGACATATATAGTCAGCCTGAGCGGGGTATTCCATGCTGACCAGGTATCCCCGCTTCGGGGGACTGGACAAAGCTGACAATGCAGTCGCAACAATCCTGGTTGGCCTTGCAAAACATCCCTGGCATCCATTCCCCGTTGACGTCGATCTTTGCCTGGCCTCGTATACAGTAACTGCTGTACCATATCTTACCCTCCCAAAATCAACAGCGCTCTACCATCCTCCCCTCCTCCTCACTCCATATATACACCCGTCCGTCCCCCACATTATATCTATAATAATTATCCGTCCCAGCGGGCACCACCGCCCTGCGAAACGTAATATTGATCCTCCCTTGGCGCGTATCACTCCCCCTCCGCTTCGGAACAGAGTGCAACCAATTCGCCTGCGTCTCACCCCGCATCACGACCATATCCCCTGACGCGAGAGACATCTTGATCGGTGCTGCCTCAACACCTTCAGCCAGCTTATGCTTCATGAGGAAATCCCGCTTTGCGCCGAGCGACAACGATGCAATGCAGGGATTCGGGCCGAGGAATCGCTCGTCGTCAGAGTGGTAGGAGATACTGTCGTCCCCTGATGCGTAATAGTTTACCAGACAGAAGTTGTAGCGTGCGCCGTCGGTAGCGGCCTCGACGCGTTGGCGGAGGGCGTCGAGGCAGGGCGGGATGGGGCGGGGAGTGGATTTGTATTTGGTGCTTGGGATAGGGGTGTGGGATTTGCTGTCGACTAGACGGGAGTCATTGCTTGAGGTATTGGGTACAGGGGTAAAGAGGGAGGTATCGTCGACGCCAAAGACGGTGGTGAAGCGCGGGGTGTTGATCTGGGTTGTGGTAGGCCCGCGGCGGATGGTGTACTGGACGCGGTAGAAGGGAAGTTCGCGGCGGAGGAAGCGGAAGAGTTCGTGGGAGGCAGTGGATGGAATGAAGGGTTGGTAGTAGAGCAGATCCAGATGCAGCTGGTTGGTAATGCTCCGTGGTGTGGTGGCTGGGAGGTCCGGAAGCGCGTTGGCGATGGATGGGGGGAAGTCCGCGATGGGGAAGGGATAGCTGGGATGATGGGAGTAGGATGATGGAGGAGCGTCCTCAACACGCGGTTTCTTTGGCTTACTGATGGGGTTGTAGAAGGATTCCAGTGTTCGTTTAGCCATTGTTGTCTGGAGGATGGAGTGATGGAATGATGGAATGATGGAGTTGATCAAAAAGAGGTAAGGGATGATGTCACGTTGAAACAGATAAGATAGCCCTAATTCGGCCAGAAACATCCAGCTATCTATACTGTTCCATGTCCGAAATGAAACAGCCGTATAATAGTCAACTCGTTCTGGACATCGCTTTCAATACCACAATGTATGATCATCTTTTTAGATCTTTGTTAGGGACAACTTTTTGAGCACGCAAAAAATGGTGGATCTCACGCTCACCATTGAGCCAGTCGCTCTGGCAATGTTATGGTAACTCTGAATCATCTACCTCACGTAAGGTGGCTTACCTTTGCTGACAGTTATTAGAAGAACCCAACAGTTGCCAGAAGGGAAATTACTAATCTATGTATTTTATGCTATTTACCACACACAGAGAGCCATATCACATATATGGCCGTAGTAGTGATCAGAAGATGCGATTTCTTTACTAGACTATGAAGCTGGCTACAGTTATGGTGGATCACTTCAACGCCGGTATGACTAGCGCTGGTTTCGTGTATTTTGCCAATCTCAGCGGTGCTCTCGCTCCTTTACAAGAAATTTGATATAAACCTTGGATACCACTAGAAAACAGATAATCCTCCAGCTCGAGGTTCCTTAGTACAGCCCAAGCGCACTCGCCTCTTCTTTCACAATATTCTGAATCTCATCCTCAACTGTGGACTGAGATGGTGACCAGCCAAGAAGCTTTCTAGCTCGGAGTGCTCTGGCTTTTACTGTGTAATTTGTCACGGAACGGCCAGCAGGAGCCATGATAGACTTGTTTTCCATATCAATTACTCGGGTCTCATCAGATATGAGAACTCCCAGCCTATGCGCCTCTTCAGTAATCCTGGCACAGACACTCCCCCAAGAGAATTCGCCATTCTCGACCAGGTAATAGCCGTGGGAGTTCCATGACGCCCGGGATCGACCAGAAATCGCTTCTTCAACCAGGCGAACATAGACTCGAGAGAGGTCATGGACATGAACACAATTCCAAAACGTTTTCCCATCAGCCAGCTGTAGCCCCTTGCCCTCCTTCAGTATGAGGCGGGTGAGATCACGCATTTGCTTCGTTTCCCGGGAGACTGGACCCCTTCCGATGCCAAACACAGTTGAGGGACAAATAATGGCAGTCTTTAATGTGTCGGAACCTGCTGCTAAGACAATCTTATCGACGTTACGATGAACGGCGTTGTCTTCAGGTAGTATATGTTAGCGGCTGCACACCCTGCGAGGTGCTTTAATTTGTAAGCTTACCAGGTAATGAGGTGAGTTCGGCAACTCCATCCCAATCATCAAAAATATGTATCTTGCCAGGAGGCCGCTGATATTCCGCCCTCAAGTCCAAGAGAATGTCGGCTCCACTAGTATGGATATAAAATCCACCGCCCCTTTTCTGGAGTCCATTGATGATGGCGGTTGCAGATGGTACATGGTCAGCACTCATTGCAAAATGAAGAACCAGCTCATGCTGTGCTGCTTCTTCTTCTATTATAGCAGTCTGATCCAGAGTAGCATAGCATAATCTTATCTTTGGATAATTTGATTTGAAGATTGCTTCCTGGGTTGAATCTCGCAGTAAACAGGTGACGCCGCTTTCCCATTCAGGGTGCTGATTTAGGAGCTCATAGAGGACGTCCCCGCCGACGAAGCCGCTCTGAGTTTCTGATGCATCAGCTGTACAACCCAGAGTCATGTCAGAGATAAAGGTTATATACTGTTCCTGAAATAAGAATCTTCGGTGGTGGCATCTCTTCCGTACTACTACAGAAAGTCGCCAGTAGTGCTGGGACCCAACAAGCTTTGTGCTTTTTACTCTCGGTGATTATCGAGTGAACGACGGATTAGCAATCTTTGTGATTATTAATGCCACTGTTTTCAAACATAATCATAGTACCTACTTAGCTTGATATGCAAACTATACGAAATCAGATTCTTTTCGCAGTCCCCACCGTCTGAACAAGGATCATAGAACAACTGGTGACTGCACAAGCTTTTCCCTTCACGACAGAAATTAGCCGTGCGCCAGGGAAACTGTTGCCATGTCCCACTGCTGCTGAGCTGATCATTCATTGCACCCTGCTTGATCAGCCAACAGGGGTACGCTGGTCCAACTGGCAGGGTCTCTAGTGTTCAAGGAACCTTTTGTTCTTCTTTTTTCCAGTTTATCTTTCTCCTTGGAAAGGACAATTCTCTGCTCTTCTCCAAATAAGGGTTTTAAATTGAGGCCAACTGATCTATACTGTCCACTTTCACATATTAATACTGAGAATCCCAACCATCCTGAAGCTCAGCTGCTTCTTTATCCTCAGTGGAACTCATACATGAATGGTACACCTTTTGGATATGTAATATTAAGAAATAAGTATTCTTTTGCGCAAGATCCTCCGCTTGTAGTCCGGTCAACCGCGATGGCATGAAGCCCTTGTCGTGATTTGCCCATATTCATTCTTCTTATAGTGTGCCTTGGATAGATTTGAGGAGTCGGCGTGTGGGCCCTGTCGAGCTTGAATGCGGCACAGATTGATTACCAAGCGAATACGAAGTAAGTCCGCCAAGGTTGCGAATTGAGTGAGATGGCACACAACGCACTGAAGCGGAGTTATCAAGTAGGTCACCAGTAGTATTTCGGCTGTTCGCTGGGTTGGCATGCATTCAGACTGAACACCAATATATCCTGACTCGCTTGGCAATGTTCGGAGTCTCGGGCCGTTTACTCGACGTGAGCTCGTGTTGGCAAGCGCCGTTATCCGACTGGAAGAATTAAGCAGTTCTCCTGATAAACGAACACCAACGAGCTCTGTTGCTATCTTTCCCTCAGGCACCACAGATGCAGCGGCCCTCTGAATGTGTTGTCTTAATCAGTCTGGCAGACATGGCACAACCATCGCATGACGGGCCTCCACGGGCTTTCGAGGCTGTGTCTACTATCGTCTTAACAAAAGGACACAGGGTGACAATCATTGTATTCATAGTTTTGACCAAGATTGTTCAGGCGAGCAGACAACCAGACCACTCTCTCTACTATGCATTCTCATGAAGGCCAGATGATATCCAACATGGTTGGTCTTGCTTCTGGCGTAGAGATAACAAGATATCTGGTGCTGCAGGTGGTCCTGGTATGGCCAATTGGGCACCAGCGTCCTATCCATTCGTTCCTTTTACCATAGCCATACCATAGAGCGTCCATAATAACAATATGTTTTTTCCAGATTGACGCAAGGGACCTTTGTTCTTATCAGTGGATACCTCGCGGCCGGATACGGTCACCGACACATTCTTATCACTGGAGCAGCCTGGTTGGTTGCCTGCTCTCTTGCAAACGGTTTTTGCACAATCTTTCTATTGCTTAACGCCGTGGCACTAATAGCCACGACTTTCCTACCAGGAAGAGCGCGAAATGTGATGCTCGGCTTTTTGGAGCGTCAGCACCCATTCGGAGTTACCTCGGTTCTATCTGGGCTGGTGCCTTTGTTCGGCATTCGAGCTGCAGATGTGTGTCCTTTGGCTTTTAAGTCCAGCCATCCTCTGTACGGAGTGTCGGGGCCTAAATATCGGTAGGGCAATCCTGGCCACTGTCGTTTTTGGACTCCTCGGTCTACTGCTTCCAACCGATTTTTCCCTTGATAGGAATGGTAAAATAGACTGGATCGGTGCGTAGCTCGGTACAAGCGGTCTGGTTGTTTCAATGTCGCGTGGCAGTGGATATTCCGGGCAAATTGGAAAGGATCTAAAGAGTCTCTCAGCCAGGCTCCTGCAAGTGGATGGAACACCCCCTTTCGAGATTATTTCGCTCGCTATGTCAGTTTTGGTGCTTGCCATATTCGGTATTTGGGAGTATAGGGCCACCAAATCCCCAGTCATGCCACGGGCATTTGGACGGCGCCCTCCTTCGCAACCGTTATTTTAGTCGTGCTTCTAAGCTTCATATCCAACTGTATCTTTTCTTTGGTACTTGGTGGCGTGTTACAGCTTCTGCGCGACAAAAGTATACTGCAATTTGGAATCGAGTGGACCCTATTCGAAGTCGTCGCAACCAGTCGTCGCAACCACCGGTACACCTACTGCTGCGTGGCTAATTCCTCGTCTCGCCGCACAATGGATTTTGGCCATCGGCTCGGCGACGATTCTGGCTGCGAATGTGCTCTTGGCTGCAATGCCAGAACAACAGATCTAGGCCTCCCCCCCCATAAGATTTAATGTCCAAATTAAGATTTTTCTGAGGATAAAATTCCCCAGAATAGTTTATTCCGGCACTGCATGCGCATATACTGTGTGTGTTCGAGGACGATGTGCATCCTTCTACATATCGCTTTATATGAAGCTTACAGGCTCCAGCGTCTCTTTGATTCTCGGTTAATCCGCTCATCTTCATGTTTCGATGACTCACCTTGCAAATGACATAGTTATTAATTGCCTTCAGAATGCGTCATTTAATTATAATTACCAAGCATCTTCCGCGATCTCACAAGGTCGGATTCTTTGGTCGGACTCTGGCTTCTTCCGCTTGAACTACTACCTGCACTACTGCCGTGGGTTACTCTCTACTGAGATAATTGCCGCTCTCAAGTGGTGTTTAGTCTACAATGTCACAGAGATCGGTTCTCTAGATCCTTTCTCGATTACATTCCTTGCTGCACAAATCTTTCTCTCAGCGAACTGTTGGCCCAGACCTTCTCTAGTACAAACCCCGTTAGCTTGCTGCTAGTACTCATACTGTACTGTCCGAGGACTCCCAAAGGAATTCTATTGCCCAGAGCCCTAATTGCTTGCGGCACTCTTTCATAGGTGATACAAAATTCAATCAATACCGCTAGACTAAAGAGGTGTCCAGATGATATACTCCGTATAGGGAGGGATACATATCGACTTGTGGTGGTATATACTTTAACAACCAGTCAATACACTGACACTAGGGATTAGAGACTCCTGAAAATAAGCGTGACGAAAAGCCCAGTCATCCTCTGACCGAGGATCCGGTTGACCATGGATACTGACAAAATGCCAAGGTCTTGTTGCAACGTAAGCATGTCCTTTGAAAGAAAGGCCCAGGTCAAACATCTCCCAAGAAAAGTGAAACCGCAACTGAACCAACGTCCTTTAGAACCAGTATTCATGGACGCAATCAAATGTTATTTGTATGAAAAAAAGCCTCTTTTGGCGACGCCCAAAACACCTACACCTGGCTGTTTTCGAGCCAGAAATTGCTGAAAGTTATATTTAACTCAACGCCTACTGGGTTACAAGTGGTACTTTCTTCCTCTTCATGCTTGTTGAGGCGCCATGAGTGGTGGGAAGAAACATCACATGTGCGAACGTTGATCGTGATGCCTGGGATCCGGCGTACAGTGTAGACCCGGATACCTATAAATTCCTGCGATCTATATTTTTCCGTCCGACGTGAAACAGCCATACAAAAACTGACTTGTCCATATATCCCCGTCTCAATACCACTCAGGGCAGACACAACCGGAAAGCCAACTAAAGTCCCCATCGCCGCTGCAGCTGATGATATCACAATCCTCATCTTTATCTGGCGAAAGGTAAGGCACAAGCAACGTATACTCAAGCACTTACGGTAGACTATCACTCTAATGTCCTCGCAGTGGACCCTTACCATAAATTCCTGCGTTATCTGATTCCTGCATCTAACTAGGTCTCTGTACAGCGTCGCACACTGACTCCTTGACACTATCTCTCTTGATGGACTTGTAATAATAATCGGTATTCACAGCAACTGCACCGTTGCTGATGCAGGCTTAGACCTTGTTCAACTCGATCCTACAGTGTAGTTCCACCCACCCATTGGCCCCGTACAGTATGCAGCACCTGGCACTAGGCCTTCATTGCACGCAGTCAAGTTCAGGGATGGATTCACAGCCAAGAACAAGGAGCTGGTAATCCCATCTTGCATGCAGATCCCGGCACAGGACTCATTCTCCGCGGCCACATGCCATCTACCGCACCGTAGCGTTGTGCCAGTAGCCACGGTCGTGTTCTCAGGCGGATCCACCAAGTATGGTCCGTACCCGGTGCTCTGTGCGTAAGGGTTTCGCGAAGTGACCACCGGGTCGGTGACATCGAACGCTCCTAGCTGGGCAGAGAGACAGAGAACGCGTCCATATGCCCACGCCGTATCCTGTAAGTTGGTGCAGTAAGCATCAATCCACGGATTGAGTTGCCGTAACGGAGTGATCATCTTGGTGCTGCTGTCAAACATGATTTGCGCGTTGACCTGTTCAATACTGCGGCAGGTATCGTTGGGCTGCAGAACATAAGTGTGCTCACATGAAAGTGGGAGACATAATTTCTGGCCAACAGCAACCCTCTGGCAGTTACGAATGAGATCTTGGTTGCCCATGTACAATGCAGCAGAAGACACTGAGTAATCCAGAGCAATGGATGTGCATGTGTCTCCGGCCTTGGTATAATAGATGTTATCCGACA